TGAAAGAAAGTCCTTCAATCAGAGCCGAGGAATAAGTCAAGAAGCTAAAATACCCATTATACCCCTCTGGTTCTAGAGTAGAAATATTTAAAAAAAAAAAAGATAAAATTTATCATAATATAGACTATACAATAATTATTATACATTTTTGTTATGAAACAGATTTAAAAGGTGTTTATCCCCTGTCGAATAGCTGAAGGACAGGGTTCTTTTTAGGAAAAGGGAAAGATGGTGGGGAGGGAAAAATAAATGAAAAAAAAAACAATTTGGGGAAATTAAAATATAAACAGTCATACACATTCTGGTGAAAATGCCCAATCGGACTTATGACATAAAATACTATATTTCTAGGAAAATAATAAATCAATAATTGTTTCTTTCCAATTTGTTGTGTTTATTAAGCCTTTATATATGATACAAATCAAGATACAAATATTTTGGTTATCTTTTATTTTCTTAGAATTATTTCTCTTTTTCAAACAAAATATTTGAAATTCATAAAAATTATGTTGTATGTTAAATTCTGTATAGAAAAGTGATTATCAGCTACATTTTGCCCTAAATTATTGTGCCAAGACCTTTAGTATATAAATTTAATAAATATTTCCAGGTTCTGGCATTTTTATTTCGACACACACTTTTTATTTGATTTGCATTCACGAATTCCATGACCATCCTTTAAGCAACGATAACAACTACCTCTGATTCTGTTTTTCCGTTCTTCCAATGTTGCGAATCGAGTACACATGTCACTCCAATGATTCTCTGCACAATATCTACACACTGGCTTGTTATGAACAGTTTCATTGGCCACAAATGTGTCGGCACTGCTACGGAATTTCTGAAAATGATGTTGATTATGAAAATCTTTATTCCAAGTATTCGTTGGCAATGCTCCGTCTTTCTTTATTCCCCTGTTCACTGAATTAAATTGACCTCCATGCACTCTATCACTCTTTCCTTTGTCAGACTTTTCACAAGCGGTAATGTAATCTCGTAGGTGATCACGCAAACTGTCAACAGTCCACTCATTCTTTGCTCCTTTTATTATTTCCAGCTGCCGGAGCACATCCTCTGGCAGCTTTGTGCGAATCATTGAAACAAAAACGTGTTGATTCACATTTTCCTTTAGCATCTCAAGACTGCGTAAGGTTTTTTCAACTTTATCCAAAAAAAATCGCAGGCTTTCAACCTTTGTAGTTGGTGAATGAACATTAAGCATTTCTTTGTAATGAAGATCAATAATCTCTTGTTTGTTGCCGTACCTCTCTCGGAGAATTCCGACTGCAATAGAATAATTGTCGTTGGTACGCGCAAGTCCAGCTAATGCTCTCTTCGCTTCTCCGCCTAGTTTGCTTAGCAAATAATTAAACTTTTCTATGTTGGATAGTTTGGTGTTTCTGTGCACAATGGATTCAAAAGAGTCCCAAAATTCCCACCAGTTTATTTTGTTTCCGTAAAACATGTCCAAATCAAGTTTTGGTAATTTAACTGCACTTGTATTTTTTCTGTCCGTTTGCATCTGCACCATCATTTGATGTTGCTGTTCAATTTGTGTCATCATCATCTTTTGCATTTGTTCTTGATATGTCTCTTTTTCTTTCTCATCATGTTTCAATGGTACAATTGACTCACAAAATTGGTCTAAATCAAGGATACAATTTTCTACCTCGAAATTCAAATTGTAATCCTCATCTACAATCTGTTGCAAATATTCCGAATCACTTTTAGTTAAAAGTTCTGATAGTTTATCCATTTGACTCATCAATTTCTCAGAATAGGATTTCAATAGACTTTTACACCTTTGAACATCTTTTTAAAACTCAAGTTTTGACACTGCACTCACCTCACTTTTCAGAAGGTCGTTTGCTTTTTGAAGCTCAGTTATCACCACTTTTCTGTACTTCGTTCTCACTCCTTTCAATGAAGCAACAGTTGGCATTTTGATATATCTTCAGGTTGCACAAACACAATTTTATCAGAACACTTAATCGAGTAAAGAAATAATCCACTTTTGAAATGCACTAAACACCTTTTGTCACTTCTCAATTTTTATTTTCACTTCACACTTTACATCCACTTTCGTATCCGGTTCGCGGGACCATTTTCATTGTCGTAAACACATACAACATACAACATACAATAAAGTTTAAAGGAGCATATTCATAGAACAGAATTTAAATACCAAGTATTCATTACATAATCGCTATGTTAGCGACACCGCCTCGGTGGTCATTGATTTTGCTAAATATGTGTATGGTCAAAACTGGCCCCGCCTCAGAGGTGTCATTGTTTTTAACTTTATGTGTTTAGTAAAAAACTTAAAAAATCTTCTTTAAAAAAACCCAATGAGCTAGAGGTTAGATGTGTAGCATGAAACATCCTCTTGTGGGTGTCTACCAAGTTTGTTCAAAAGCCCTAAAGTTTAAACTGGACCCGCTCCGGGGGCCTATATACAGGTGAGCGACCTCAGGGCCATCATGGCCCTCTTGTTATATTGTCCTATGTGAGTTATACAATGATTTTTGGTGGCAATACATGACTGTATATTCCGATAAATTCTGTAATCAGTTGACCCAGTGACCTCCTTTTTATTGAGTGCTAAAGGTTTGAATTTTGACAATAGGGACATGTCCAGATACCCACTTTAATTTTGAAACAAATGAACAAGATTTTGGTACTCTGATGTACTTTCTTGTGTTTTGAGTTAGTACTTTGAGATTTAAACCCTTTAACTCATTTCTTCATGAGCATTTTGTGAAACATGGCTGTTTTCATTGAAAAGTCTCCCGTTACAATTTCAAATTGCTATAATACTATAAAAACTGCTTCAACACTAATCAAACTTGGCACAAATGTTGACTGGACCATTGCCCTTGCAATAACATGTTCAGGCTTAAATTTTCTGTTACCATGGCAACGAGGGGACATCTCAAAATTGCCAAAACTCACTATTTTGCGTTGATTTTATTCCATCAAAATTGATTTCAAAGTGCTGCAACTTCTCAATGGATTGAGATAGAGTCAAATGCTTTTCAGCGTTGGTTACACGTTACCTTATGATCAATCTGGGGTCAATTATAGCCTCTCACAAGTCCAACATTTTCTTGGCGATCAGGGGACTCCGCCCCCCTTCACCCCCCCCCCAAACAGAAGGGGACACATCCCCCTTCTGGCAACCCCCTGATGTATCTTTTGGTTAGGGGGCCGCGCCGAAAAAGTGGTCACTTTTTTTAACAACATTTCTCAAACAAAAACAAGTTTTGGGGGCCTAAATAAGGCATTTTTTCACCATTTATGACAACAGAAGCGGGTGGGGGGATGAAAAAGGCGTTAAAAGGCGTGTATATCGCGTAATGGGTTAAACAATATAATTTTGCCTTTGAAGTTTCATAACCATTCATTTAGATTATATCCCAGTTACTTGTATATCTTTATTGATTATCTTACCAGGTAACAATGTAAATATATATTAACTTTTCTTGCTTTGTTGAACAATAATGAATGGTTAATCATACGAATGATTTGAATCTAATCACAGAGAACTTCGAATTCCTCAGTGATTATATAATTGTGCATCTGAGCTCAAACCCTGCATTTTTCTATAATAAAACAATTAACATAAATATCTATAATTATAAATAGATTTTGTAAATATATATTAAAACCTATAATCTGTGATTTTCAATTATGCAAGTGCTTGCATTGCTCATAAGGGATTTAACCATTTAAAAAAAACAATTAAAGGAACGTCACTGAGGTCAAAAAGCATAAAAACATAAAATTTGAAACTCTTACAAAGATTAGTTGGGGCACTTAAGTCAGAAATATGTGAAAAATCAAACCAGGAAATAAAATCATAAATAAATTGTATTTTTGTGCTCTTCTTAGCCTGATTTAAGTGAAAAGCATTGTAATGCTTTTGAATTTCAGGTCATATTTTTCACAAATAAAATAATTGTTCTGGAAAAACTGACTGCAAATTGTGAGCCAAGTCTGAAGTGTTGCACACACAACGTAAAATGGAACATTTATCTCGAAAATTCATTTCCAGTTCTATCATGTTAAAATAACCTCAGTTTTGTCACTTTAAGCTTTATCACTTCTGTCAGTCTTACTCATGCAAACATGGTCTTGATCTACATAGAATGGAACATTTATCTCTTAAACTGTTTTTCAGTCCTTTCATGTCAAAAACCTCAATGGAGTCCCTTTAAGATTTATCAACTCTGTCTATCTTACTCATGCAATCTTACTCATGAAAACATGGCCTAGATCTACATAGAATGGAACATGAATCTGGAAAAACTTAATTTTCAGTCCTGTCATGTCAAAAAACGTCATTGGAGTCCCTTAAAGATTTATCAAATCTGTCTATCTTACTTATGCAATCATGGTCTCGATCTACAAAGAATAGAACAATAATCTTGAAGACTTATTTTCAGTCCTGTCATGTCAGATCAAAAAATATCAGTTGTGTCCCTTAAAGATTTATCAATTTTGTCTATCTTACTCATGCAAACATTGTCTAGATCTACATAGAATGGATCAATAATCTTGAAAACTTATCTTCAGTCCTGTAATGTCAAAAAACATCAGTGGAGTCCCTTTAAGATTTTTCAATTCTGTCCATCTTACTCATGCAATCATGCGTATTATGATATTCGTGTTATGTTACCACTTGCAATTTAGCCAGCCAGTCACCATTATAATTTACTGTAGTTGATCTTACTGAATTGACCTCAAATGCTTTATATGACAAATGACCACTATCTATTTGGAAATGGATACTGTTATTTTCACAGAGTGGTCACTTTTATGTGTCACACCTGTATGTGTTTTTGAAAATGGTGATGTTATGTTAGCCCAAGTATCTACAATTTGAATATGTGTTAAAATGTTGGCTAAATGCTGCTCACGATATACATTGTACATACTTATAGTATTCTGAAAAAAACTTGTAGTTACAATGTTGTGTTATTTTACAGTCATGCTTTCATTTACAATCAGGTATCATGTGGTGTGAAGGTGTACTTTCCAAAGAAAATGAAGGTTCTATGGAACATCTGTGGATTTGCTCCTCTAATGAAGGTCATGGTCAAGTCTCTGTTGTGTCTCTTCATACAGACAAGCCATCTCTAATAGAATCATTTCAGGCCACTAAATGTATGATTATATGTGTAGAGACTGTGCCAGGTTATGCCAGGGTCAGATCAGAGGCAGTATTTGAAGAAGACACAGTCTGGATGAGTACATCAGACTCAGAGTAAGTTTTTGAAAATCTAAGAACAAGTCTGAAATTTCCTAGCTTATGATCAGCTGTTTAAACACATTTTTTATGCCACCGCAGCATCTGCGATGCGGTGGCATATAGCGATTCACCTGTGTGTGTGTGCGTGCGTGTTTGTGTGTGTGTGTTTGTGTGTGTGTTCTATAGATTATATAGTGAACTTAAAAACTCTTCTTGTGAAAAAACACAAGTCCAATTTCAACAAAACATGGCAGGATTGATCCTTGGGTGAAGAGCTTCCAAAGTTCTTCAAAGAATTTCATTCCATGCAGAAATCTGGTTGCCATGGCAACCAAAAGGAATTATAAGAATAAATTTAAAAAATCTTGTTGTAAAGACCCAAAAAGCCTAGAGCTCAGATATTTTGCATAAGGCATTGTCTGGTAGACCTCTACCAAGATTGTTCAAATTATAGCCCTGGGGCCAAAATTGGCCCGCCCCGGGGGTCATTGATTTTCATTTTATGTACATATAGTAAAAACTTAAAATACCTTCTTGTAAAGACCCAAAAGGCCTAGAGCTTAGATATTTTGCATAAGGCATTGTCTGGTATACCCTTACCAAGATTGTTCAAATTATAGCTCTGGGATCAAAATCGGCCCCACCCCGGGGGTCATTGATTTTCATTATATGTACATATAGTAAAAACTTAAAATACCTTCTTGTAAAGACCCAAAATGCCTAGAGCTTAGATATTTTGCATAAGGCATTGTCTGGTAGACCTCTACCCAGATTGATTAAATTATAGCCCTGGAGTCATAATCGGCCTTGCCCCGGGGGTCATTGGTTTTCCTTATATGTATATAGTAGAAACTTATAGTAAAACTTATTTTAAAAAAATTTCTTCTAGCAATTGACAAATGCTAGAGGTTAGATATTGTGCATGAATCATTGTGTAGTGAACCTCTAGCAAGATTGTTCAAATTATAGCCCTGGGGTCAAAATTGCCCCCACCTGGGGGTCATTGATTTTCAATATATACATATAGTAAAAAAATAAAAAATTCTTATTGTCTGAAGGTACAAGGCTTAGATCTTTAATATTTGTTTAATGATATCATCTATAGGTACTCTACCAAAGGTGTTCAAATTTTGCCTCTAGTGTCAAAATTAGCCCCGCCCCGGGGGCCATAGGTTTTCCTTATATGTATATAGTAAAAACTTAAAAAATCATCTTCTCTAAATTTACAAAGGCTAGAGTTAAGATATTTTGCATGAAACATTGTGTAGTGAACCTCTAGCAAGATTGTACAACTTATAGCCCTGGGGTCAAAATTGGCCCCACCCCCAGGGGTAATGATTCACTATGTACATATAGTAAAAAATTTAAAAAATCTTCTTGTCTGAAGGTACAAGGCTTAGAGCTTTGATATTTGGTATATAGTATCATCTATGGGTCCTCTACTAAAGTTGTTTTAATTATGCCTCTAGTGTTGAAATTGCCCTGCCCCAGAGGCGATAGTTTTCCTTATATGTATAAAGTTAAAAAAATAATCTTCTCTGAATTGACAAAGGCTAGAGGTTAAATATATGGCATGAGACTTTGCGAAGTGTATCTCTACCAAGATTGTTCAAATTATAGCCCTGGGGTCAAAATTGGTTCTGCCCCGGGGGTCATTGATTTTCATTATGTACATATAGGAAGAAAAAAAATATTTTTGTTTGAAGGTACAAGGCATAGAGCTTTGATGTTTCCTATATAATATCATCTATAGGTCTTCTACCAAAATTGTTCAAATTTTTCCCCTGGTGTCAAAATTGGCTCTGCCCAGGGGCAGTGATTCTCATTATGTACACATAGTAAAAATAGAAAATAAAAGAAATGTTTTCTGAATGGGAGAAAGCTACAGCTTGAAATGTTGTTTGGTGGACCTGTATCAAGATTCTTTTGAATTAAACCCTTGGGTCAAAATTTTGCCTTGCCCAAGGGGACAGTGACCTACTTTCTTGTCCTTTGATGCACAGCAATGAAATTTTGACCATGTGCACAGTTTTAGTTGTAAAATTGAACTTTGATATCAGGTGACCTAGATTTTGAGACGTACTTTCTTGTCCTTTGATGTACAGCTATGAAATTGAACCATGTGCACAGATTAAGATGTAAAGTGAACTTTGATATCAGCTGACCTAGATTTTGACAAAGTGTCTTACTGTGTTGTCCTTTGATGTAGTCATGAAATTTAGGCTGTGTGAACTATGACCTTCACCACCAAATTCACTAGAGTAGACTCAAGTGCATTGATATATTCCTACTCTGATCTTTTATTGGATTAACAATAGATTTAACCACTAATCTGATAATAAGAATTAGATAGGTCAGGGATCTATGCATTATGACAATCTTCAATTGTATAGAAACAAAAAAAATCTTTTCCAACACTACTATTTAGTGTTGTATTAATGCGGTGGCATAGCATTTTTCTCAAATGCAATCTTGTTTCCATTTTGTTATAAATTATGTAAGCCAGTCTAAACCTTGTAGCTTTTCATTGACTGTTTATGATCATATATTTAAATTTTGAAAAAAAAAAAATTCTTTTTTTTTTTAAACCACAAATCTTAGTTTCTAATTGGCTATTTGTAATGAAATCTCTTAATTCATTGAGAGCCAGTCAGACTTTTTATTCTAACTTTATACTTTATTTTACCTTTATGCTAACTTTATTTTTCTAACTTTTAATTTGCTATGACTATGTGATCTATGATCACATTTTTTGATGATTTCACAGTAATTGTGTACTACCATTATAATTCAAGAGAAAATGAAGCACCTTCTTTCTTTTACTTTAGTAATTTCAAGGGGCAGACACTAGAACTGCTAGATTTATGCTTAAGAACTTTTCTACTGTAATTACAGGATCCAAGTATTTATGCTAAGTGAAAGGCAAGCAGACTTACATAGACACTGTATTTATACATTTGAAGTTGGCTGTATAACTATCTCTATGAGATACATTGATGATCTTATGTTTTGTGGAAATAGGAATGGGAAGGTGATCATTTTCTCCAGAAATGATGGTTTGTATTAATAATTATTATCTTATCTTATGCTTTTGTTGTGGAGTTACAGTGAGATCAGTGAAATATATATCATATCACGCTGTTTTAAATGAAATGAAACATATAATATCGGTTTTTGTTCTAAACATTGATGGATATAACAAAGTACGAGGATTGATCAAAAAGTTCTTGGCCCGATGTACTTCCGGTAGACAGAGAACTCAACTAATGGTCTTACTTTTCAATATTATCGCCCTCTACATCAATGCACTTTGCCCACTAGTGCTCCAACTTGTTAAACCCTTCAAAATAGAGCTCTCTATTTTGTTCCTCATAGAACTCATTGACCACCTCCATGACACCTTCATTGCTTCCAAAACATCTAGCACAAAGCTTGGTTTTCAGTATCAGAAACAGGTGGAAGTCAGAGGGGGCCAAGTCCGGAGAATATAGGGGATGGGGAAGAATTTTAAAGCGGCAGTCAGTTGCAGCAGCCATCGCAACTTGAGATGTGTGAGATGGCGCATTGTTGTGCAGGGGCAGAACGCCTTGAATCAGTTTGCCCCTCATTTTATGCGCGATTTCTTGATGCAGACGTCTCAATTTGTCTGCATAGTACGTACAGTTTATGGTACACTCTTGCTCAAGATAGTCAATCATGATTATCTCCTGACAATCCCAAAAAATTGAAGCTATCATCTTCCCTGATGTTGACACCCTCTTGAATTTCTTCAGAGGGGGTGAATCAGGGTGATTCCACTGTATGCTCTGTTTCTTGGATTTCATATCAAATTGATGGACGCATATTTCATCCTCAGTTACAAGATAAAATCAGGTCACCTCGTAGCGAAACAAAAGATATCTTGAATTGTCAAGTCTGGTCCGTTTCTGGTCATCAGTCAACTCTCTGGGGACCCATCTAGCGGAACCCTTTGACATGCCATAAGACATCAGTCAGAATTGCCTGAACTGAACCAACGCTTATATAATTCTTCGCATGTCTCGCCTTCTGTAGCACATGACCAGATCGTGCACAGCTTCGGCTGCCAGGCTGCTCATGATCCTCAATGCTCTCCCTGCCCCTCTTAAATTTAGCAGCCCATTTTTGACAGTGCTATAGGAAGGAGACGCCTTCCCAAGTGTATCCATGAAGTCTTCATGGATTTCCTTGGGGGACATCCCTTTCTTACAGAGGTACTTAATGACGGCTCTGATTTCAACTTTCTCCATTTGGTCTACATGACACACCCCTCTACTGATCAAAGTGTGTTTTATGTTTTTTAATCTGTGTTAAACTGAGTATAACTCGGCCAGTAATCTTCAATAAGATATCAGTATCAACCTTTCGTGTGTAAATGTCAGTCCAGGGTATGAACATGATGAAGTTGTATTGAATTCCAACCATTAGTCTTCAAGTTATGCTCCGGACAAGGAAAATGCAACGCGTGCGTGTGTGTTATATAGATTATATTGTGAACTTAAAAAATCTTCTTGTGAAAAACCACTTGTCCAATTTCAACTAAACTTGGCAGGATTGATCCTTGGGTGAAGGGCTTTCAAAGTTGTTCAAAGAAATTTTTTCCATGCAGAAATCTGGTTACCATGACAACCAAAAGGAATAAAAAAATAAATTAAAAAAATTCTTCTTGTAAAGACCCATAATGCCCAGAGCATAGATATTTTGCAAAAGGCATTGTCTGGTAGACCTCTACCAAGGTTGTTCAAATTATAGCCCTGGGGTCAAAATTGACCCCAACCCCGGGGGGTCTTTGATTTTCACTATGTACATAAAGTAAAAAAATAAAAAATCTTCTTATCTGAAGGTATAAGGCTTAGAGCTTTGATGTTTCCTGTATAATATAGGTCATCTACCAAAGTTGTTCACGTTTTTACTCAGGTGTCACAATTGGCCCTGCTTGGGGGCATTGATTTTCATAATGTACACATAATATAACAATTGTTTTCTGAATTGGAGAAAGCTATTTGACATGAAATGTTGTTTGGTGGACCTGTATCAAGATTGTTTGAATTAAACTCTTTGGTCAAAATTTTGCCTTGCTCAAGAGGACAGTGACCTTCTTTCTTGTCCTTTGATGTACAGCTATGAAATTTGAACCGTGTGCACAGATTAAGATGAAAAGTGAACTTTGGTATCAGCTGACCTAGATTTTGACAAAGTGTCCTACTGTATTGTCCTTTGATGTACAGTCATGAAATTTAGGCCATGTGAAATATGACCTTCACCACCAAATTCACTAGACTCAACTGCATTGATAGATTCCTACTCCGATCTTTTATTTGAATAACAATATATTTAACCACTAATCTGATAATAATAAGATAGGTCAGGGATATATGCATTATGGCAATATTCAATTGTATAGATACAAAAAAATTCTGTTCCTATTTAGTGTTGTGTAAAAAAGGTGTCATTGCATTTTTCACAAATGCAATCTTGTTTTAAAGTTGACCCTTGATTGTACTGCTCTTGAAACAATCTTTTACTGGTGTTATAAGGGGAGAGTTGTTAGTGACCATTGTAGGGCTTGTGTCTGTTTTGTTTATTTACCTTTGCAGCTATATTGAACCTTTGTATGGGCGAGCGTATACATGATTTTAAATGGCCTTAGTTAGGGGTTCTTTATTTAGCAGATTAAAAAATTGTTGCAAAATGTTTCTTTTCAGATGGTGTTTGGAGTGAATCAAGGAGAATAACTCTAGGATTGAATCCAGTAACCTCCCTTATCTGTATAGGAGATAATATGTGGGCAGCTTGCGGAACAAAAATCTATATGATTGATATAGACACTTACGTGATTCAGGTTTATAATATAGATTGTTTATTGTATATCACTGATAACAACATATGTCAGTTTCAGGTATATGATATAGAAATGTGTATTGTATCTATAAAAATAGCAGCTCTTATTATACCCCTGAAACAAAGTTTTTTTTTTGGGGGGGGGTATATAGGAGTCACCCGGGTGTTTGTCGGTCAGTTGGTCAGTCCAGCGGTCCGTTGCATTTTCCTTGTCCGGAGCATTACTTGAAGACTAACGGTTGGAATTCAATACAACTTCATCATGTTCATACACTGGTCAAGCACATTGAGAGGAAGTGCACTGCACAAGAACCTTAACTCCATCTTGACTAATTACAGAGTCATTGCCCTTTGTCACTTGTGCATAACTTGAAAACAACTTGTTGGAATTTAATACAACTCCATACAAAGGTCAAGCAGTTTGAGAGAAAATGCATTGTACAAGAACCATAACTCAATCTTGATTAATCACAGAATTATTGCCCTTTGATACTTTATCTTGTCCAGTGCATTACTTGAAAGAAATGGTTTGAATTCAATGCACTTTCAAGCACAATAAGAGGAAGTGCAGTGCACAAAAACCATAACTCTATCCGGAGTAATTATAGAATGATTGCCCTTTGTTAGTTTTCCTTGTTGCAAAGTATAACATAAAATCTACTGGTTGGAATTCAATACAATTTCATACAATGCTCAAGTATATTGAAAGGAAGCGCAGTGCACATAAACCAAAACTCTTTTTTGACTCATTTTAGAGTTTTTTTCCTTTGTTATTTTTAGCTCGACTATTCGATAAGAATAAGTAGAGCTATTGCAGTCACCCGAGCGTCGGCGTCGGTGTCGGCGTCTGCGTAACCACTTATGTTTAAGTTTTAAAGTTTTTGTAATAGTTCAAATATTTTCAAAGTCCATTGACATATGGCTTTGAAACTTTGCACACTTGTTCACCATCATGACCCCAACCTGTAGACAAAAGGAGGTAACTCTATCAAGCATTTTGACAGAATTATGCCCCTTTTTCGACTTAGAATTTACGTTAAAGTTTTTGTAATAGTTCAAATATTTTCAAAGTCCATTGACATATGGCTTTGAAACTTTGCACACTTGTTCACCATCATGACCCCAACCTGTAAACAGGAGGAGGTAACTGTATCAATCATTTTCTTTACTATCAAGCACTAAGAATAGTCGAGCGTTGCTGTCCTACCGACAGCTCTTGTTTAATGTCCAGTGCATAACTTGAAAATTAATGGTTGGAATTCAATACAATTTCATACAATGGTCAAGTGCAGTGAGAGGATGTGCAGTGTACAATAACCATAACACCATCTTCAGTATTTGCAAAGTTATTGCCCTTTGTTCCTTTTCATTGTCCGGTGCATAACTTAAAAACGAATGTTACGAATTCAGTGCAACTTCATACAATGGTCAAGCACAATGAGAGGAAGTGCAGTGCTCAAGAATTGTAAATCTTTCTAGACTTATTACAGAGTAATCATTAAACTTCATCAGTGGTCCACCACAGTGAAAGGAAATGCAACATGCAAGAACCACAACTATCTTTAACTGCCACACAACAATAACTCTAGTTTAATTCTTTTATAAGGTTTTCTTTTACTAGAAACTTCCTCATTTCCAAAGCAGTCTTGTGGGTGTATCAATCACATTTAGTGATAGTTCTAGTTATCTTAGGATTCTCCAACTTTGAATAACTTGCCTCTTAAGGCTATTAGATTTAATGCTGCCATTTTCGAAAGTGGGTCATTTGTGTCAAAATCTAGGTCAGCTGATAAAATCAAATGAAAACCTTGTTAACACTTTAGAGTTCACAATTTTTAATTAGATTTTCATAAAATTTTGTCAGAATGTTTATCTCAATCATGTCTCAGACAAACTTAAAAATGGGTCATCTTAGGACATGGTGATTTGTTTTCAATAAAGATGATTTATATAAATCATGCTCCTGAGGCCTAAAATACCCCCTCTGAGTTTATATTAAAGGTTATATAGACTTACTGGGATGTAGCATCATCTTATGTTGTTTACAAAAGTGTTATAAGTCATGCCCCTGGGGTCAAATTGACCCAACCCTGGGGTATCCAACTTCAAGTGACTAATTTATTTTTCATTAACATATTGAAATCGATGACTTATTTATTTTTCATTAACATATTGAAATCTTTTGCATAAAAATTACAATGCCAAGCATTTTATACTTGGCATGTAGCAAAGAATTTTGGATTAATTTTGGATTAAAAAATATAACTTAAATAAATGGAAATATCATCAGAAATAAACACTGTCATGAGTAAAATGTGCATCATTATGAGAAGCACATATATATCTGCACATATCATTTTAAAATTGTAACGTTTTTCGTTAAATTTTATAGAATTATTTTCCACAAGAACAATGACATCATGATTTGTAGTGCATATTGCTATTAATATATTTCTTATATACCATATATTGTACTGTAATAATAAGCTGTTCATATCTTTTAATAGAATAAATAGAACTGTAAATGCTATTTGTATCTTTTATTACTACATGTATTTATAGCACTGTATGTACTATTCATATCTTTTATTACTAATTATAGCACTGTATGTACTATATATATCTTTTAACCTTTTTCCCTGATAAAAGCGTGTTTTGACGGCTTTCCCCCCCCCCTTTTTTTTTGAGGCCTCAAACAGTGAAAAATGCCGTATTTAGGCCCCAAACACTGTTTTTCATTTGAGAAATGTTGTTAAAAAAAGTGTGCCCCCTTCTGTTTGAGGGTGTGAAGGGGAGCGGTAGTTCCCCTCATCGCCAAGAAATTTTTTGACAAGTGACACGCTAAAAATGGCCTCAGGTCGATCTTATGGTGACGTGTAACCAACGCTGAAAAGCCGTTTACTCTATCTCACTGCATTGAGAGGTTGCAGCACTTTGAAATCATTTTGATGGAAAAAAAACAATACAAAATAGTGATTTTTCGCAATTTTGAGACGTCCCCCCGTTGCCATGATAACAGGAACTTTAAAATTGAGCATGTTGTTACAGAGGTTATGGTTCAGTCAACATATGTGCCAAGTTTCATCAGTATTAAAGCATTTTTCATAGTTTTATAGTAGTTGGAACTTGTAACAGGAGGCTTTTCAATGAAAACGGCCATTTTCACAATATGCTCATGGGCTGAAAGGTTAATACTATATATAGACCTGTATATGCTATTTATATCTTTAGTACTATATAGCAATGTATATACTATATATATATATATAATTATATTATATATATATATATATATATATATATATATATATATATATATATCTTTTATTACTATATATATCACTGTATATGCTATTTATATCTTTTAGTACTATATATAACAAGGCATATACTGTTTATATCTTTTATTACTACCGGGTATATATAGCACTGTATGTACTATTCATATCTTTTCATACTATATATAGCACTATATTTGCCATTTATATCTTTTAGTACTATATATAGCAATGTATATACTATTCATATCTTTTATTACTATATATAGATCTGTATATGAGACCAGTGTAATCGTTTTTGCTTCTAGGACAATGTGGAGCATCAGCTTACAGAGAAAGATGACCAAACAATACATTTTGAGTATTTAGTGAAGACTGGTGTTGGGGTATGGGCATCTTTCATTGGTCAGCCAAATATCTGCCTGTACCACAGTGAGAGCAGGCGACTGCTACAGGACTTCAATATCTGCACTGCTGTCCATGAATTCATTAAAGGTAAACTTACATGTTAATCTCATTTACTCGCTATTTAAATATATACTAAGCTCATGTTTGAGTAAAATATTTCTATCCCAAAAATTAATTGAAATCTATGTAATTCTTTCTGAATATGTCTTAATTTAATAAAAGAATGTACAAACTGCAAGTGGCAAGCTGCATATCCTATTACAGGTCAAGAAAAGTTGGTCCTTTCTTAAGAAATTGTTTTTTTTTAATGACACTAAATATTCAAATTGTGTCCACCTATAGTGTGTAGGGTTTAAAACATAAGATATATACTTTGTGTGTCTTCAAAACATGTTTAACTATATCAACAAAGAGACTGTGTAGCAATTATCAATATTTAAAAATATAAAATTTGAGCATAGTATATCTGTATGACAATTTTGATTTTATTGATTCATTTTATGTGTAGGTAAGATAAAATAAAACTAATGTAACACATGTGACAACTTTTACCACTCCTAAACAACATGCGGATGATTTAATTACTTGAAGAATAAGGACAATAATATATATATCCCTTTCTGGGGGTACTATAGAAATGGCCATCATCTCTCCGTCCATCTGTTCGTCTGTCTCTCCATCCTTAACACTTTCATGTCTGCTTCATTACTTTTGAACCACTGAAATTTTTATACGCCCGTTTGTTCACCATTGTGAGGTGGAGTGTTGCGTGCAAAATTTAGGTCCCTGTGGCCAAGGTCACACATAAGGGGTCAAAGTTCAGACAAAAATATGAAATTGTGTATTCGGAACATTTATCAATTACTGAGGGATTGAAACACAGATGGTCATTATCACGACTACCGGTGTGAAACATGTAATTAAGGTTAACATATGAAAGGTCAAGGTCACAAAATATGATAAAATATAGACATTTTGTCCAGAGCATGGTGGGATTTTAAAGAAACTTCATAGAAATGTTCACCACTATGAGAAGCAGTGTCAGGTGCATGAACCATGTCTCTCAACTAAAGGTTAAGGTCATTTAAAAATGCTTGTTCGGTGCCAAAATTCTACATTCATCGGGGGATTTTAATGTAACTTGGCACAAATTTTCACCATTGTGAGGCTTATTGCGAACATAATCCAGGTCCCTTCTACCAAAGTCAAGGTCACATAGAGAGGTTAAAAATTCTGTACTTGTTAATATCTGCTAAATTGATATTTATCATGCCCCTGTGGTCACAATTGATCCGCCCCAGGGTCACTTGCACTTGATAATAGGAAAACAAATTTAAGTCTTATTGTGTGAAACTACAAAGCACAGAGCTTAGATATTTGGCATGTAGTATAAATTTGTTAATTTCTACAAAAGTTGTAATAATCATGACCCTCAGGTCAAAATTGGCCATGCTACATGAGTCACCTGCTTTATGTTATGTACACTAAGGAATTTTTGTGGATAAAAACTAGGCCTCTATATTTGGCACATAGCATTGCCGAGTTGGCCTCTATAATAGTAGGCAACTGTCCGTTTACTATTTCTAATTGCATAAACTGCTATACTTTTCAGTATATTCTGGAATAGAAGAAAGAAAGAATTTTCAAGTTACTTGTTTAATGGCAAGTCTTGGGCTGCTTTGGGTTGGAACTAATGTTGGAATAATACTGGTATATCCTCTTCCAAGATTACGAGATGGCGTCCCAAGAATTAACGAGCGTCCACAAGTAGCTCTCCACAGTCATAGTGAAGCAGTAAAGTTTCTATTACCGATGCATTACGGGCCAGTTAGTGGGGCACCTATAAGAAGAAGGATGGAATCTGTCCTTAAGAAATACAAAGTTGATGACTCTGTAATAAGACATTTATCTATTGTTGATGAAAACGAGACAGCTGACAGTAGACCAAATTCTTATATAAGTTTGGATGCTGTTGGCATGGTGACAGGTGATAATGTGTATGAAGATGTTGATTTCCAAGGTTATAAAAGAGATACTGACAGTCAGATTTATGAAGAAATTCCAAGTAAAGTGACGGAAGTTAAAAGGTAGTGCTAATAAAATCCTGCAGTAAAACCTAAAGGGGGATGACCAGGTTGAAGACAAGGAATCAGATCTGATTCAATCTGATGAGCACAAATATTTCATTTAGAATCTCAATTGTTAGAGAAACTAACAAAACTGACGAAAAAGTCAAGTGCAGTAGGTGAGAGCAGCAAAGTTGAGATGGAAAGGTGTTCAGATATAAACTGAAACCTCCCGATGAGATGTATTCCTTAGACTCGAAAAATAAGAACAAAAATATTTATGTAAGGAAAGAAAAGGAATTGTGATATGGACCGGAAATCAATGACTTTGTCTTACGATGCAAATCTTTTACACGGCAAACATTAAATAAGTCTAAAGTATTTCATTCAGAATTAAAAAATGCGTTAAAGCATAGAAAGTCTCTTGAAGACTTGACTGATAGAGATGCTACACAAGATGAAGTTAGTAAATTTATATCCAAACTTTCAGTCAGGCCCAAAAACAATTTCAAATCCGGCAAAATCATTAACGAGGCAGTGGCCTTTCTTCAAAGTTTACCGGATATTAGGGACGAGTCTAAGAAAGAGAAAGATAAAGACTCCCTGTACTTTCGACCACGAATGAGTAGCGGAATAAAAGCGAAAAAACCGGAACTTCTCCTCCTCCCAAGTGAAAAACTCGACAAAAAAAGGAGAAAAAGCCGTCTCGGTTTTCTAAGCGGAAATCTTCACCAAAGAAACTAGACGTTCTGTTTCCCTTTAACAAGGATGACACAATGGAAAATATAAGAGAAAGTCCAGTTGGTACCAGTTTTTTCGGCAGGGCTCATCAGAGATACTCTCAGAAAGCAAAGACACTAATACAATAATGGTTATTAGCGAGGAGATGGTTATAAAAGATTGGAAAGAAGAGAAAGTTTACAAAATTACAAAGACCAAAGCCATTGTCCTTAATGTTTTTGGAATGTACAAAATTCTAGATACATTATTTTTGACTGCTGTTTAAATATTGAAATGCAATAAAAAAGCATGTACTGATGTTTTAGTTATTATTTTAAGTCATTATAGTAAAAGCTGGACTGTGATTTACTATTTGCTGTACATTTTCCGAAAAAGCCGTTTTATATGAAAAAAATGTTGTTAAATTTGTTAAATATAAATAATTTAAATTGAAATATAATATTGTTTTTGAATCAACCTGTAATAAGAGACAACATATTTTTAATTTTTTTAGATTGTTTTTAAGTTTCATTCCATATGTACCAATATTTCATTCCATGTTCATGCATAGCATTATTGTCCTCTGCTTTTTGCTAAGAGTCTGCAATACTCTCATTCATGTAATTATTCTACAATATACAGGTATATTATACAAAAAGGTTGACATTTCCTTTTTTTAATATTTTTTTTTCCTTAAGTAGACATAATATTTGCTGGTCGAAAAGTTTTATTAAATACAGGTTGTACATGTTCATGAACAAAGTAATTTTGTCATGGATTAAGTGTTAATTCAAGTAATTTTTTACATTTGTACAATTTGCAATGTTGAGTGGACTTATTCCGTTGCTATTATATGTGAAGAAAACAATTCATCTGTGGTTTTAATCCAAGTAGTCTCAATCATGCAAGTTCAATAAATGGCATTAACCGTCAAATAATTGAATTTTGGAAGGTCAAATGATTGAATTTTGCTTATAGTTTCTTAACATGGTCATTTATTCATTGAAATGATTCATACTTGGAAAAAACATCAAGTGGGATGAGACTGACATATTAAAATTGCAATAAAGGAAAAACTCATTAGTGTGCCCCCATTTTGAAGGGGGGCCAATTTAGATTTACCCTTGTCCGTCGGTTCTATTTTGTGTCGCACGTAGCTTAAAGTATTTGACCTACAGTCATGAATCTTTATAGGAATATTAGTCAGCATGTGTAGTTGTGCACCTTGGTGTTTGCGTGTGGATTTATTCGTTATTTGTAGAGTTATTGCCCATGACTAAGTAAAAATTTACAAATTTCAAAAAGTGTTGCACATAGCTCAAAAAGAATTTGACCTATGGTTATAAAACTTTACAGGAATGTTACACAGCAAATTAAAAAGTTGTGGCACCTTGGTGTTTTTTCGTGTATATTTATTCAGTATTTGTTGTTAGTTATTGCCCTATCCCCTAAGTAAAAAATTTTCCATTGTCAACTTGTTCAAACACATGCTCAAAAAGTATTTGACATATAGACATAAAAAACTTTAAAGGGGAATGTTGCTCAAGGATGTGCAGTTTGTGCACCTGAAATGTTTTCACCTGTGGGGATTTATTCTGTTTGTGAGAGTTTATGGCCCTTGCCTTGGTAAAAAAATTTGCAATTTTTAACCCTTTGTGTTCTCCATATAGCTCAAAAAAGTATTGAAGTAGGGTCATGAAAACTTTACAAGGAATGTACTCAGCAAGTGAGTTGTGTACCTGGAGTTTCAATGGTGAAATTTAATTCTGTTTTCTCAGAGTCTTTAAGGCCCTTTATTTGCACTTAGTAAAAATTTACCAATTTTCAATTGTGTCCGCAGATGTGTTGAGTATTGAGTGTACCCTTGAGTGGGCTTGATCAGAATAAACCACGTTTTACAGGAAGAATGATCAACATCACTGTGAAACTGTACTTCCTGGTGTTTTGCATGTGGATTTTTTATGCCCCCCACTTTAGGGGGGAGGGGGCAATTTAAGATTTAATCCTTGTTTCTCTGTCCTTCCCTTCTCATTTTGTGTCGCATGTAGCTCAAAAATGGTTTGACCTAAAGTCATGGAACTTTACAGGAACGGTGATCAGCATGCAAGCTGGTTTCACCTGGGTGGGTTTGCGTGTAAGTTAATTCAGTATTTTATAGTTATTACCCTTGACTTGGTAAAAATTTGCAAATAAAATTTTGTGTCACATCTCAAAAAGATTTAAACATATAGTCAAAAATTTACGGAAATTTTTCTAGGATGGATTTGGCACCTTTTTTCCCGGGATTTTTTTTCTGTTTGTTAGAGTAATGGTTCCTTAAAAAAAATTTTGCAATTTTTAATTTTTTCCCCAATAGCTAAAAAAAGTTTTGACCTAGGGAAAATTTTTTACAGGAATGCACTAAAACATTTTAAGTTTTTAAGGGTTTAAATGGGGGGATTATTCTTTTTTCAGAGTTAGCCCTTAAACCAGTAAAATTTTTAAAAAATTTTCAAATTGTGCCAAGTGTGTTGTTTCCTTGGTGTTTGGTCGGAATAACCAAAATTTACAGAATGTGATCAAAAACACTGTAAAGCTGTTCTGTTGTTAAATGTGGGGGGGGGCTTTTAGATTTACCTTGTTTTTCCCTTCTTTTTTTGTGTTCCCAGACTCAAAAATTTTGACCTGAGTCAGAACCCTTTCGGAATTTTGATCGAAAATGGAATTCCCCACCGGGGGTTCGTTGTGGTTTAATTTCTTTTTTGTAAGTTTCCTTGACTTAAAAATTTTGCAAATTTTCAATTTGTCCACTAGCTCAAAAAGTTTTTGCCCTAGGGCATAAACTTCCAGGAATGTTGAGTTTTGCACGGGGTATTTTGTGGTTTTTGTTTTGAGATTTAAAACCCTTGATTAGTAAAAATTTCATTTCAACTTGTTTTACATTAGCTCAAAAAGTTTTTGCCCTAGGTATAAAATTTAAAAGGAATGGACCTGTAAATTTCATGGGGGTTTGCGGAAATTTATTATTTTTCGGGAGTTTTTGGCCTTGAAAGTAAAATTCTTTTAAAAATTTGGGGTTAAAATGGGGTGTAGCCTCAAAATGTATTTAACACTAAGTCATTAACTCATGTAAGAGGAAATGCTTGGCCGCATGTGTAGTCCGTGCACTTTGGGTTTCGCTTGTGAATTTATCCAGTATTGTTGCGTTTTTTGCCCCTTGACTTAAATAAAAACCGCTTTATTATGTTGTGTTATTTGTTGCTTTAGTGCTTGAGTTAGAATCAACTTTTACAGACTTAATGATCAACATCACTGTGAAGCTATGCACCTCGGCATTTTGCATGTGGATTATTTACAGTTTTGTTAAAAATTTTGCCCTTAGACTTAGTTATAAAGTTGGCAATTTTAAACTTGTTCATGCATAGCTAAAAAGTAATTTGACCTGTAGGCCTGAAAGCTAACAATAATGTTGGTCCAGCAGTGTGTACTTATGAACCTTGGGGTCAACTTTGGATTTATTCATAATTTGTTAGTTTCTTGCCCTTTAGTTTTTAGTGAAATATTTTTTAGTTTCAACTTGTGGCACATGTAGCCCAAAAATATTTTTGAACTTGGGCATAAGATTGACAAAAACAGGGAGTGTGAAGGGCGAAGCCCGTGTCCATGGACACATTTCTAGTTTCCATTGTTTTAGCTTAAATTTTTCGATAAGTAGAGCTATTCCTAGTCACCCGAACGTCAGCGTAACCACTTACGTTAAAGTTTTTGAAACACTTCAAATATTTTCAAAGTCAAATGACATATGGTTTTTAATCTTTGCACACTTGTTCACCATCATACCCCCAATCTGTAAACACGAGAGGTAACTCTATCAAGCATTGCCCCTTTTTCAACTTTTGTTAAAGTTTTTGTAACACTTCAAATATTTTTTCCATCGACATATGGAAATTTTGCACACTTGTTCGCCATGCATAGCCCCAAACTGTATACAGAAGGTGGAAACTATCAAATTTTTTGACAGAATTATGCCCCTTTTTCAACTAAGAATTAGTTAATTTTTTGTAACCCCCCAAATATTTTAAAGCCCTTTCGTCATTGAAAATTTGCACATTTTTTTTACCATCATGACCCCAAACCCGTAGCAGGGGGAGGTAATTTTAAGGGTTTTGAAGAAATATTGTCCCCTTTTTTTAGAAAATTTTGTTTTGGTTTTTGTAACACCTCAAAAAATTTTTCAAAATCCATTGACAATTATAGCTTTGAAAAATTTACAAAACCTTTTTCACCCATCATCAAACCAAAAATGTAGACATAAGGGGTAACTCTATCAGCATTTTGACAGAATAATGACCCTTTTTCGACTAAGAATTTTAAATTTGCATTTAACCCCCGCCCCCTCAGATATTTTTTATATTCCCTTGAATTTTGGCTTTGAAAGAAATTTAAAAATTTTTAAACCTTTTTTGAGAGCAAAAATAGGGCTTCTTTAAATCGTATAACGTAAACTGGATTTTTAAAAAAAAATGTGGCCTTTTTTTTAACTAAGAAAAATTTTACATTATCAAGGCTCTTGTACAGTATCAAGCACTAAGAATAGTCTTACGTGCTGTCCTACCCATAGCTCTTGTCAGAGTTATTGCCCTTGACTTAGTATTAGTTATAGACTTATTCATGCATAGATCAATAAGTATTTGACCTGTCTACGAAAAGTATACAAAAATGTTGGACAGCATGTGTAAATATGCACCTTGAGGTTTGCTTGTGGATTTATTCAGTAAATGTAGAGTTTTTCTCATTGACAAAGTAAAAGATTTTTAGTTTTAAAAGGTTTACATTAGCCCAAAAAAAATTTGACTAGAGTCAGTAGATTTCAAAAAATGTGGAAAATGGGGGCACCCGTTTCTTTTTTGGGCACTTCTGGTTTTCTTTAAAATTTTTTTTTAAATTTTTATTTTTTTTTAGAAAAAAAGTTGTTTTAAAAGTCGAGGGTTGCCCTCAACGGGGGGGTCATCTTTTGGGTTTAAAATTTT